AAAAATTGTTAAATAATTACCTTAAATTATCCTCTTGTTATATGAAATACTAATGCATATGTGTGAAGATTTTGAAACTAAAATCAATCAAATTTATTTTTGCGTTGACAGCAAAAAACCGAAATATCAAGTTGGTGAGCAATCATAAGCACGAAAACTTAAACGTACATGTTTACAAATTTCTGACTGAAAATTCTTTTCTAGCAGGGGCAACAAAACGTTGAAACAACAAGTTGAGCACTAAGTCGGCTCAAATTCAAAGGTTAAAAGCGAAAAGTTCATATCAACAAGCAATCTGATCTATATTTCTCTTTTAATTATGATTATTTATTTACGTAGGTTACGTAATAATTTAAAGTTATATTTTACTTTTAATAATACTTTATAATAACCGAGGGAGAGAGTTACGTTTTATTAACGAAGATCGACCATTTATGTTTTTTTTTTTTTTTCAATTTCTGATCTCTTTCTTTGATTTTTATTCATTTTATGAGTTTATGTAAGAATAAACAATATATCGTGTCACCAAACACTGAAATTTGTAATTTTTTACACATAGAACCGCAATATATATGAAGTAAAAGATGTTCAGATGTGAAAAGATGCCAAAAAAAGGTAACCTGGAAAAACATTCTTGAGAAGGCCAAGGCCCTCCCTGGACTGTCGAGCCATTGATGATGATGATGATGATGATGATGAAAAGATGTTCACAGAATGTATATGTAATACATATTATTATAACTTCGTTTTGAAAAAAATATCAGCATACATGCAAAGATATTATAACCGTCGTTGAACAGCCTACCCAATTTTTGACTTTACGACTTCTAATATTAAACTCCGTGGCCTTGTAATTCTGAACCCAATCCAGAAGACAAGGGAACTCCTGGATATGTTATTAAGATAAATTTTTCTTCGTGGAGGACTTTTGATGGAACTAACCGGCATTTGCGATACATGGAGAGGAAGACCACGAGAACCTCTCACGCTGAGGCTGACGACAAGGGGACTCTAACCCATGATCCCTCTATCACTGAGGATATTTCCCGTCAGCACTGTGGTCGGTTCAAGCTGGATGCGGAATGCGTATAGACCAACCATCGCCGGTATTCGAACACGGTTCACCTCATTCGAAGGCGAACACTCTATCCCCTGAGCAATCGCGGCATACAAAGATAGACTAAAATACACAAGTATCGAATAAGCGATCGAAGCGAAATCGAATTGCGAAGCAAACTGAAAGGGACTGCACGAGCAAACAGGCGCAGTGAACAGAGGTTTGTCCGCCTATTACAATAATTTTAAAATTCTACTTGCTTTCGTTGACACAACGATGCACTTTTTTTTCACGTCGGCAACGAAAAGCTCAAACAAACTAAGCAAAGACGCGATTTGCTTAGGAGATAGAGCGTTCGATTTTCAATGAGGTGAACCGGGTTCAAATCCTAGCGATGGCTGGTCGATACGAATTCCGCACCCGGCTTGCACAGACCACAGTGCTGACGCGAAATATCCCTAGTGGTAGAAGGATCATGGGTTAGAGTTCCCTTCTGTCAACTAACCGTAGGGGGTTCTCGTGAATTTCCTCTCTATGTAATGGAAATGCTGGTTAGTTTCATCAAAATGTCCTCCACGAAGGCAAAATTTCTCCCTATACTTGATCCAGTAGTTCCCTTGTCTTCTGGATTGGGTTTAAAATGACAAGGCTACAGAGTTGAACATTGGCTGTCGTAAACTCAATAACTATAATCGGCTCGGCTGTTCAACGACGTAAAATAAAATAATTATAATCTTAATAATTATAATAATTGCAATAATAATTATAATAATTACTAAAAAAAACTCAGGCGATAGAGCGTTTGCCTTCCAATGAGGTAAACTGGCACCGACCACTGTGCTGACGTGAAATATCCTCTGTGGTAGACGGTTCATGGGTTAGAGTCCCCTTGCCGTCAGGCTAACCACGGGAGGTTCTCGTGGTTTTCCTCTCCATGTAGCGCAATTGCGGGTAAGATCCATCAAAAAGTCCTCCACAAAGGCAAATTTCCCCCAATACTTGATCCAAGAGTTCCCTTGTCTTCTGGGTTGGGTTCAAAATTACAAGACTACGGAGTTGTAGTAAACCCAAAAGTAGTAGTGAACCCAAAAATTACGTCGGCTGTTCAACGACGGTTATAAAATAAAGTTATGAAATAATCCTTTTAAAAATGAATACAAAAAATCTAATTTTTGTAGAAAACAAAATATAATTTATTTATTTGTATTCTCTTATTTATTTGTTGGACTAACTTTTATGTAAAAACCAATTGAAAAATAAAGATTCCTCATTCAAAATAAAATCATCAGCAGTTTTGTATCTTTTTATACAAACCAATGATTCATCTAAGAAATATGCAAATAAAGCTGAAACTATGACACAATAATACATAAACCCAACGTTAATTTTATTTTTTATGCACCCTATTAAGATGGAAAAACTTTATCAATATATTTTGGAGTACCTCATTATTTGACCTTTTTATGACTGAAATAGTGACATATTTATAGACATGATGTCTCTTCATGCCGCCTTAAATTTCCACTGATAGGATAAAATGACAACAATTTATTTTGATTTATTTGAATCGAAAATTTGAAAGAATGGAAAATAGCTTTCAAAGTATATCGAATGTATAAGTTACAATTAATTTACGTAATTTGTGCTGTGCTGTGATTAAAGCTGATTTTAACAGAATTAATCTTAACATTGATTTTAACCGCATTTTCAAAGGGTATCAATTAAGTGCAAACAATACTTTTTTTTTTAAATGGTTCGTTTTATGAAATCTAAATTTTAATTTTTAGTAACTAAAATTCTTTAACAGTGAAAGATAATAAGTAATTTAAATTATTAAAAAACTAAAATATTTCAAGATATTTCAAGAAAACTAAAATATGACAAGATTCTTTTAAAAATTGAAATTATATTTTCATCAAATCGTCACTAGATGACAGCACTGTTTATTCCCAAGTTTAACTTTTTTTGCCAATAAAAATGTGTAACGCGCTTAATGTTTCGAAGGGCTCATATGGAATAAATTTTACAAAATTGCACCATAGAACCTTTAAGCTAGAAGCGTACAATATATTGGACAGCATTTTATATAGTTCTATAATTTAATAACATTTTATGATTCTTTTCTGTTTTTTTTCTGATCGGTTGTTATGATTCTTTTCTGTTTTTTCTTCTAATTTAATGCTACAGTGAAAATTATAATGTCAGAAATTCGATTCACGTAAATTTTTGGCCAATTTTTCAGCCTGATTATTTGAACCCCGTGGATTTTACTCCATGTTCAAACTGTGAAGAGACACGCTATAAAAATATCCTACTATAAACAAAAAATAAGAAATAATAATTAATTTTTTAAAAAAAAAAACATAACGCATTTATGAATTTACTTTCTTACATATTCCCAAGAAAGACCTGCAATTTCTTAAAACATTATCTAATTGTATACGAATAGTCTTTTTTTTTTTTAAAAAAAACTTATGTAGATTTTAGAATATTTATTTAATTCCTTTACTTTCTGTTATCTCTTATTGATATAGATTATGATATTGATTATCATTAATATTCATTATGAACATGGAAGGATTGAACGACGATATTTAGAAAAACCTTCAAATTTCATACTCCAATTAAACCTGTTGAAATGGTAATTACTAAGGCCCGGATTTTGATGACATTTGCATTTTTTTGTTGCATTTTTTGCATTTTTGGACTTTTTTTGTCTTTTAGAGCATTTTTTTAGATTTATAGGGCATTTTTCTTTAAATTTCGGGGCGTATTTTGCATTTTAATGCATTTTTTAAAGTTTTNNNNAATAACACAAATAAACCGCAACAGATCAATTTATTTGGACTAAAATATATGAAAACAGACAACAAAATGTCATAATTTGCTGCCTGCTTGTTGACGTCACAAAACCTAAGACGCTGATTGGTTAAGGGAGAAAAAACTTGGATGGAAAGTAGAACATGCTCTACTATCGTCCAAGAAGTTGGACCAAGTTCTTGGATGTTTGTTAACACGATCCAAGCTCAAAGCAAAACAAGTTTCCATCAATATCAATCAATCTCTGTCCAAGAAATTGGATCGTCTAAACAGGCCTTTAAACCTGTTGAAATGGTAATTACATTCGCTTTCCCCTACTGGGGTTCGTTTGATTTCGATATAGCGTTTTTTCCCCCTCAATTAACTATTAATTGGCTAAAATCAATGCATGTACCTTTTCGAGTTCATTTTTAATAGGGTTTTTAAAAATATGTATAAACACTAGAAAAAATGGCTTGGGCCATTCTAGCCCCTCTAGTTTTTCTTTTAATAGCTCTGTAATTCAAATAATAACTTAAGAAAGTATTTCTGACTTTTCAGAATTTGATTCAATTTAAGTGACTATTTAATCATTCATGATTAGGCTTACAAGACCGTACATATAGAACCTTATACCTACATTCCCTGGCCAAATTAATGGACTCACTATGCATAATCTTAATTCTATGTATAATCTTAATTCTATGTATAATCTTAATTCTATGTATAATCTTAATTATCAGGTGATACTATATAGATTTATTTTATTACGCGGTTTGCCAGTTTTCAGCCTGGTTTTCACTTGTTTATGTTCATGCATCAATTGGTTAAATTTGACTACATTAAATATAAATTCGACGATTAAATAAATTAGACAATATATTATATAAATATAAAATATTTTTTATATCAAGCATTATATTAGTATACTATAATAATTAGATCAAATTATTAGAAGCACTGTGGTGTATTAATAATTACATGACGTGCACGCGTTTATACGCAATACTTTTATATTTAAACATACATGTAATAGGTTTGTATTCAGGAGATTTCTTATAAACTTCCTATTTAGGGTGTGCTAATAAATTTCCTTTTCATATGTTAAAAAGGATTTTGGTGAATAAAGACAAAGGAGCGTTTATTATTATTTTTTATTATTTTTACTATGGAACAAGAAAATCAGCCATTCAATTTAGATTTTCTTCTTTCTTTTCCAGCCTAAAAGAAAAAAAATTTTAAGCAACATATCATTAATAAATCATGTTTTTGCGACACGCAAAATCTAAAAGAACACAGAAATTCTATTCTAAATCCTAAAAAAAATGTACTACGAAGTTCTCATATGTTTCAAAAAAAATTAAGACAAGAAAAATGCTGAGCACTATGCAGTGTTCCACGTAATTTTTTTTACCTGTACAATTTTAAACCACGAAAAGAAATCAGGGAGTAAAAATCAAATAATATCAAATATATTCGAAAATGGTCTGCATTTACAAAAGAAAAGTTCTATCCACTGACGAATACTCATATTATAGCAAATATAGCTCGAAAATGGTCCGTAATGTACAAAAAAAAGTTCTATCCACTGACGAATACTCATATTATAGCAAATATAGCTCGAAAATGGTCCGGATGTACAAAACAAATGTTCTATCCACTGACGAATGCTCATATTATAACAGGTATAGCTTGAAAATGGTCCAAATGTACAAAAAGAAAAGTTCTATCCACTGACGAATACTCATATTATAGCAAATATAGCTCGAAAATGGTCCGGATGTGCAAAAAAAAGTTCTATCCACTGACGAATACTTATATTATAGCAAATATAGTTCGTAAGTGGTCCGGATGTGCAAAACAAATGTTCTATCCACTGACGAATGCTCATATTATAGCAGGTATAGCTTGAAAATGGTCCAGATGTGCAAAAAGAAAAGTTCTATCCACTGACGAATACTCATATTCTAGCAAATATAGCCAAAATATAGAATGTAAAATGATTCATTTTTCCTTTCCCTTTTGTTCAAATATTAACTATAAAATGATATAACAGTTCTTCGAATTCTTGAATTTATTTATCTTTAAAATTTCAAGTAATAAATTTCCTAAGAATGCAGCATACTATTCCAAAAACCAGTTGAAAACAAAGTGGTTAATTAATTTGCGAGTAGAGAACTTTTTTCCAGACAAATGTGCTATCAAAAATGCTACATTTAAGATCAATCTGGTGTGAAATAAGCAAAATTCTAAACTTACCCCATTTTTATTCAGCTGAAACAAAATAAAAAAAAATTATAAGGAACTGCTATTGTTTTATCCTATTGCTTTTTTCATGTTTCCAAAATATTAAATGTCTTAGTTTCTTGCTAGCCCTGATTATGAGAGCTTATACAACACATGGACGGAGATACTGCGTAACGTAAAAGTTCTTAAATAGTTTTAAGCCCCCCAAAAAAAACATTATAAGTCTGCAAACCTTCCTGAGTTTATTCTTTTAGAGAGTTTGTCAAAGAAGTAATATTACTGTGCCAATTAAAAAACATTTATTTATCGGGTCAGAACAGTGTTCAATACACTTAAAAGTTTCTTATTACGTCCTTTCAGCATCAACACATCGCTTTCAGCAAGATTTCAAGGCATCGAAACAGCAACTCTTAGTCCTCAGCACTGATCAATTTAGTAGTCCGACGTAACAAACGTAAACTGCGCAGTGGAGTAAAATAAGAAAGTGGTCACTATGTTCGGGCTACTAAGCTGCGCAGTGGAAGAAAATACGAAATATGGCATTATTGTTGAACTACTAAAGGATCAAATTTCTTGTTTATGGTAACCGTGCTGAAGCCTACTCTCTTCTAGGAGGTATTGATAGAAGGCGTTACAACAAATCTTTTCCAGAATTTCCTTTAAGCTTTGGTGCAAGCATCTTGATGATACATTGTTTTAAACGAAATTTCCAGGTAACTAAAGCACGGCTAACCAGAATGTTCTTTAGAGCATTGATTGGCGCAAACCTGTGCACGTCAATACATTATAATCAGCGAAATGTCCAGGCATCGAGGGTTTTCAATTATAGTATATTGAGTGACGTTATTAAAAACAATTGCAGAAATTAATAAATCATTATAGGTGATTACACAAAGAAAACAAAGTTAAATGTAAAAATTCTGATAACGTATTAAGTTTTCTATTAAAGAAAAAGAATGAACCTTTAGTAGCTTCTAAGCTTGCTAACCGAGGGCAAGGATGTAAATGCAACACTACTGGCTGTTGCTAGGTTTCTTTCTTGAGTGAATGTTCTGTTGCAAATTTTAAAAAAATGTAACAACTGATAAGTTCGTCTTCTAGCTTGAAAAGTCTGAAACCACCCTGTTCCCAGTACACAGTATACCTTTTACGTAATGTCCTTCAAAGCCTTAGTATAAGCTTCTTGAATATGTCCAACTGTCCCGAACTGTGGGACAAAGAATTTTCAAGTGCTGTAACCGGAAAGAAGTGTGATGAGACCATGTTAGACACATAAGGTGGCTAGAAAACCGTTAGCACACTTGAACAGATCAGAAAGTTTGTCACAAAAAGGCGGGAGTGACGTCGTCATCTACGACTCAATTTTAAAAGATGGTGGGAGGAGATTTTTTTGGAACGTTTTATGCCTATGTCATTAAATGAGACCCCAAATTACTGTCTGAGTTCAGGTATAAAGATTCGATTTAACAAGAACTGAACAATGTCGAACATGTCTTACGCCACCAAATTTCCACAGTGATTTTGCCAAGACAACGACAATCCATCAAGCACTGCAACACGACCTGCACCAAATTTTTACTTATCGATCTTTGCTTTCTGCAGATTTTATACCAAATCTAATATGAGATAATCAAAAAAAAAAAATTTCATAAAAATTATGAGCTTGAAATACGTTTGCCACGGACATTGTCCTCTTGGTTAAAGGGATTTTATTCATGCTTAGAAGGTAACGTATTATTATCATATTAGTGGCATATATGCAATGTAAATACTTATTATTTTACAAGAGAATACTGCACGATGTTCGAGGGAAATTTCTTTATAGATACACTATCCGGCCAAAAGTATCCGGACAACCCAGTGGTATGGACTTAGAGCGTTCTGAGGCACATATTAATATGATGTTGCATCGATGACAGCCAGCACAAAGTCTGGGAAGACTTTCCACCAGTTTTTGATAGGTGCCCATAGGAATTGACTTCCATCACATCTGAAGTGAGTGCTTACAGTGAGGAGGGTCGATTTGGCTGGCTACTTTGATCTGCCCTCTAATTCATCCCAAAAGGTGTTCTATTGGATTTAGATCGGGGTTCTGAGAAGGCCAGTCCAGTTTTTGAACACCTATTTCGTCAAAGCACGTCCGCATCAGTGTGTGAATGGAGCAGTTATCCTGTTTTAAGAGAAATGGGCCTTCGGAAATATTGCCATGGAGTTGGGAGCATTGTCCACACACACCTCAGAGTTCATGTTTCCAACCACAGGAGCTAACGGACACAAACCAAACCACGAGAAACACCCCCACACCATTATACTTCCGTCACCATGACAACCGAATGTCCGGATAATTTTTGGCTAGAGAGTGTATAACTGTTGTTAAACAACTACGGATAAAATTTACCATTGACAAATCAAAAAATTTTATCACCAAGCAACGAAAAGAAATTTCAGTTAAATTTCCCGTGAATATAACAAAGTAGCCCTTTGTTAACCCCTTAGCAGTTACTAATAATGATTCTGATTAAGAAAGCGATATACTTACGTTCTGGTTTTAATAAATAACATAAATTGTAATTGAAAAAAAAATACTTATTTGTATTATTGAAATTTAATAGACAAATTTATTTGATTGATCATTTTTAATTATTTGATCATTGATTATTTGATCATTGATTATTTAATGATTTATTTTAGGAAATAACGCAATGTATGCGATATCGGGCTGTGTGCTGTAACTTTAAAGAAAATCACCTTTGTTAGAAATACAGGACAATGGGATTAATCTGCTTCTTCATCACATTTACTGAAAGACGGGATTATTGCATGTAAATGGCGGATAGTAATCATAACAATCGGATTAATAAGGATAATAACCCGGTAGACCTTTACTCAATAATCCTTACACAGTTTTTTTTTTCAAAGCAAAGGGGTATTTGCCCGGAACACACATAAAAATGCTGTTACTTTTTTTCTTTGTAAAAATAAAAAGTACATACTTCAACTTGTACTTAATTACTTTTTAAATTTAGTGCATTTAATTTTTTTCTTTACTTTCTTAGCCAAAAACTCAGTAACTATACGCACGGTTTCTTTCGAATTTTGCATTTTGCCTTACAAAACTGCACTCTTTAAAAATGATGTAAAAATGTGTACACCTTATAATTCAAAAATTTTTCAGTTATCATTAAATAAAATGTTGTAAAATACAAAATATAATAATTAAAAAAAAATTTTTTTGCATTGAATTATTTTCGGATAAACGAATTTTATAATTCTCAGCAAAATATCTACTATAAAAATTCTCGAAATACTGTAAAATACGCAAAAAATAAAATTAATGATAAACATTTTAAAAGTTCACTCACAAATTAAACACAATACTACTAGTTGCATATAAAATCATTTAAATAGTGAGGTCTAATGACCCTTCTTCCAGATCTTGTTCTATACGAACTGTCTGAGTTATTTCTCTGAGGCCCTACCAAAACATTTGCTCCATCAGAACCAGAATTATCAGGAAATTCAAAGTCCGGAACTACTGCAGACTTAAATTTAATCATAGTAGGTCTTAAATGTATGCGGTTCCTTACCAGCGTTTTATCTGAATTTGTTTTAATAATATAAGATCTAGGATTTTTATGTTTCTCTATAACCCGGGCAGGTTCCCAAACACGTTTATTGAAATTATAAGCTGTCACTACATCACCGACTTTTAGTGGTTTGAGCTTTTGCGCACCCCTGTCATAATAACGTTTCTGCCGATCCTGTTTTTGCCCAAGCTGTTTCTCAATGTTTTTAAAAACTTCAACATTTAACAATTTGTTGTGAATTGGAATTTTAGTTCTTAATCTGCGCCCATATAGTAGCTGAGCAGGAGATACATTNTTGAATCCTATCGAGCACGTTTGGGATGCTCTAGGGAGGCGTGTATCTGCCATCAATCCGCCCCCTCAGACCCTTGCCACGCTTGCAACTGCTTTACAAGAGCAATGGCTCTCACTTCCTATTGAACTGATAGACCGCATAATTGAAAGCATCACACATCGCTGTTTGTGCTGTATTGCTTCTAGAGGCAATCATATTCCATATTAAAGGTACTTTTTCTATTGCAAACCGATACTTCCAATTTGTTTATTTTATACATGTGCTAATTTCTATACTACTATTAATGTCTGATAATTTCTTTTTATGTTGTTTAATACCTTACTATGTGTTGTATATTGTGGGTAAGTTTCATAAAATTCCATGTGTAATTTCTTGAGTTATCGCGATTTTTGTGAATTTTCCTTAATTTATGATAACCAGTGTATATATATATAGCTTTTTTTTCTTTTTTTCTAGCTTTTGTGGAAATAGTATTGCCAAAAGATCGAGTCGAATTCGAATCTAGTCAAAGCCAAAGATGGTGGATTTATCGTTGTTCAAATAGTCACCGATTTCAGTTAGATATTATCTTTAAATTTGATTTAGTTGGATGGTATCTTAATGCTAGATTACTTAATATTACCATAACTATTCATAAACCAATTAAAAAATTAAAATTGTAGTACTTACTGCCTGTTTAAATAATAGCAAATTTTGATTTACAAAAGATATACGTATATGATTAAATCAAAACAAGATAGCTTTCCTCTGAAGGAAATATATCAGCATATAAATTAAAAGTTCAAGACTAAAACAGGCATTCAGCAAGAAATAAAAAAGGATATTTCAGTTACACATTATAGGCAAATCAGATTTAAAAAAAACTTAAAATTAAGTGAAACACATGCCTATGAAGATTAAAGGAAAAGAATAGTTTGTGTTTATAAAAGCTGATTCGGAACGGCGAAAGCTCCTGGTGAAGAATTGTTTTTACATGACATGATCCTCCTTCACTGTGTAATAACTCTCGGGGAGATAAAAAAATTTTACATTATTGGTTTGTTAAAACTCAGTAATCTTCAAATTGCTATAGAATGCAATCCTATAAACATTTTGTGAAAAATCGACAAATTATTCTCCTCCTTTGTTCCTCAAATGAATTCGATGCAAGTTGGAAAGCTAATTTGACAAAGGAAATTTGATAATTATCTAAATTGGAACAACCTGAAAACTCGAGTATTTTGTCATAAGCTTTATCTTTAAATAATGTGTTATTCTTAGTTCGCATTTTTTTTCATCTGGCGCTCAAAATTACTTGACTTCTAATTAACCTATTATGTTAAAACTTGATAATTTATTAAAGTATCAAATGTTGTTTAAATTTGTTTAAGCACTTGAATATCGGAAAATAGTTCTTTTTTTTTCAAAATAAATCTTTTTTTATATGAAATGCCAAACATTTCCATTTTTAATATAAAAAAATATTTTTTATTTTTCAAGTTTTTGAGCTAGCATGATTTTAATAAGAATATAATTAACTACTTATAAAAACTACTATTAACTACTATTAACTACTTATAAAAACAAATTTAAAAAAATTATTCAAATTAATTTAAAAATTCTTAATTAATTTAAAAATATTCAAATTAATTTAAAAATATTAAAAATTCCCTAGGAACATAATTGATTACCAGTTAAAACTTATATCAAGTCATTAACATCATTTTTATGACTTACAGCATGCGCGCAAGACATCATAGAATGTCGTTTTTTTTTTTCATCAAATTATAAATCCAAGAATAATTAAATTATAAAAGTTGTGTGCAACATTTTTTAAAGTGTTTGAATTTAAACAATATCTGCGCGTATGTTAAACTCCTATGACACATTCAAATTCTAAGTGGAATTTTAGATAAGTTACAGATAGTAAACGAAAAAGTTAAACATAGATGATGCTCTCTCTATGAAATAAACACCACTAAGAAACATTAAATGTTTAAAGTCTTAAGATACAGAAAAGAGAGGTATTATTATCTTTTTTATGAAGTTTTTAATAGATATCAAGGCAAATGAGAAGTCATAGCATAGTTTACTGTAGTGTTTCTACCACTTCAAAAATACAATTCCAATTCACTAGTATATGAGATATGTTAGCTCGATTTAATGTTGGGATATCTTTTCATAGATGAATATTGACATTGTCGATATGATTCTCCTCACATTGGTGACCCGGACATTATGCGAAGAAGCCTACCGTGACAGAAACTCCCATTTCAATTTGAACAAGCCTACTTCGATGGCTGGCCCACATTGAACAGTTGACTTGCTACTTGTGCCAGTGACATTTTCCACTTCCTCGTGTTGCTGTTACTCAGGCTCGATCATACACAACGTTGGCCTGCATACACTGGACTGCTAATGGCAACACAGGAGTGACCATGACCATGTACTTAACCATTTCGGGACGGGCGAGTCATAAATGTATTCGTACAGAATAAGGATAGTAAAAAATAAAAAGTGGTAGCTTAAGTTTGGGTACAACTAATTTAACGGACTTATTTTTGCTTCCACTTTAAATTTAACACATCCAATCCCTATGTGTCGAAAGTGTAACTATACAATTTCTAATTCGAACTGGAAATGATATACTAAATACTGATAATGTAGCTATTTTATTAATCAAACTTTAGGTAAATCTAAAATCTACACTAAAACGCTAAAATTTTAGTTATTAAAACTTACCGGCTGTTTAAAGAAAACCAAAATTTTAAAACTTCGAAATACTGATTTGTATAACAATTCAAAAACAAGTGAAAATTTACAAATTCATTCTACAGAATATAATTTTGTATCTACCTCCGAAAACAGAAATTTTGAACTTCAAGAAAAATGAAATTGTTTAATTTTCTTGTTAATTTTGTTGTTAATTGCAAGTTAGAAATTTACTTCTAAAATATTTTTTTTGCAAATTTTATCAAAGTATTAACCAATTCTGTCATGAGTGACCGAAATCAAGCGAATGTCGACTTTCACCGGTGAATGTCAACAATGACTTAGTCGCTTTTGTGAATGTCCGAAATATTTGTTATATCCGATTTGATGTTAATTTATTTGTTGATATTATTATATTTATTCGATATTTTAATATCTGCTGAGGATAGGTTAGGAGAAACATCAGTGCTCAGAGTACCGGTAAAATGAATACCAGGCAGTGGCACTCAACTTTAAAAAAAACAAACATCAGTGTAAGGTATACCGGGCAAATGTGCACAGGGCAGTGGAACTGAACCTTCAAAAAACAACATTGATGTAGGGCATACCAGGAAAATGTATACCTGGCAGTGGCACTTAACTAGACATAGTATAAGTTTCAGACATTCACGAATGGTTGGTTGGTTCTTAATTTGCGTCGCACTAGAGCTGCACAATGGGCTATTGGCGACTCAGACATTTACGAAAGCGATTATATGATTGTAAACATTCACCCGTGGAAGTCCACAACCACCAATTTCTGTCAATCACAGTAACACCAACATATAGAAAATATCCAAACTTAAGATTCTAATATAATTCGTCAGTTCCAAAAGTTAAGAAGCGTTTGTTAGTAAAAGTTATTCATTTGTATACCAACGAAAGCAACATTTTTTTTCTCCGAGAAAATTATTTCCCACAGAAAATTCTATGTTTCAAAATTAATAAGGCATTTCGTAAAGCAGTAATCAAAACATTTATAATAGTTGTTTAACTGCGAAATGTGTAAATGATGTAATTTAATTATTTTTTACCAGATTATAGGTTATCTTTGAAAGCTAAAATGCATACATTTGACATTACTTGAACTATTCTTCGCCTTTTGCACTTAAGCAATCTTATTTAGGCTAGTTAGCTATCTGTTTCCAGAAAAAATAAAACAGATAGCAATGCTGCTAAGCATATATTTAACATTGCCTTTACTATTTTTCACCTTTTACACAAAAACAACCTTATTTAAGTAAGTTAGCTATTTGTTTATCGAAATAAAACAGGCTGGTTGTATATATGATCCTTATACAAATTTTTTTCAACCGATGAGTGCCAAATGTGTGATACATACATTAAGAAGCACGTCGGTTTTGTCACTATCTCGTTAAAACTCCACCAAACTCCTACCATCGGATTGCGCTTTACAGAACAAATATTTTTCTATAGGGTTATATAAATACTTTTTAATAGTAACAGAGATTTTTTAATTTCATCCGACGTTTATAACATATTGTTATTAATTAATCATCGTAGATTTCCTATGATAGGTTAGAGCAAGTAAAATCAACCCTAGCAAAAATAACTCGGGCTCTCATTGGGCAAATATTCACGAATCTTGGCTCAGTAAGGGTTCAAAAAAGCCGTTATTTTCCGATATTGGCCCTAAATAGAATTATCAGTTTCAATCGATATTTTATATTCATTATTATAAAATCCCATATTGGCCCTATAAAAACCGTTATTAGTACTTTATAAGGCCAATATTAAAAAAATATTGGTCCCTCGGTGCATGTTCATATTGAACCTATATTGAGCTAGGGAACATTGTTGCTAAGGTTGTATTGTTGCTAGGGGACAGTGATGTTTGCCCAACATTACCGAATCTCTATTTTGAAAGCTACATGGAATCTTTTGTTGATACCATTGATACTTACGCTTTTTAAATGTGCGTCAATAAACCAAAATCGTGCATAATCGACACGAACTTATTGGATTAACATGAGTTAAATTAATCAAAAATGCACTGTTAGCGTTTGTTTTGACAACTTGATCTATTAAATTGTTTCAAAATGAACCTAATTATATAATACTATTAGGAAGAATAATAAATAAAAGAAAGACAAAAATGTTTGAATACTTACGATCTGTTAATTGATATACAAAAAAATGCATTAAATGAGTAAAATCATCATAGATAATTTATCATGAATATTTTTTCTATTTACTTTTGTATTTACTCTATAAGACAATAGGATATTAAATCAAACGAGAAAAATTTCCTTTAGTTCAGCGATTTCTAATTTTTGAGGGTATGGAATACTAAATGATGGAACTTCTTTTAGCGGAGCCCCAGCATTATGCAAAGAAAAAGTTCATCAGCACCATTGAATATTCTAATCAAAAAACAAACACTAGTAATTTAGTATTTATCTAAAAAATGTGAAGAATGAATTAAATAAATTTGTTTTTGATGTAAGCATATGCTAAAAAGGAATGAAGGAAACATAATTATGGTTTTCAAAAAAGAACTATTATAAAAGTATTGTGAAGAACTAATATAAATTACTATTATAAATAAGAACTATTATTAAGGTATGGGAATAGTAATCGGAGAAACATAATTCTTTATTCTTGAATTTAGTTGTTTTATTTTAAATTGAAAAGTTCAATGAGAAATACTTATGGAATTTTTTTAAATCTTGGTGCTTCTGTTTTTTAGTATTTTACATAAATAATTTCTCGCAAACAACCAAAATGTTAAATAAAATATAGATTATTCCTTGGAAATAAATATCATTATTTTCGGTTTGAAAAAAAAGTCCTAGCTCTCGAAACACCTTTTGGGAACCTACGGTTTAGATTATTCCGATCAGACAACGCCATCTAGTTTTTAAACAAGCCTTCATGAATTCTTATAAAATGAGAAAAATCTTTCAGCTATCAATAAAATGATAAAAATAAATATCAGTAGAGGGTTACTTGAATTTTAATGTAAATGGTAAATTCAATTATAAGAGTTTTCATTTATGTCCTAAATAAATTATGAGAACAATTTTTAATCATTTCTAATTTTTTTGTACCGTTTTTGTATAAATTGCTACTTTTGCATCAATCACTACTTAAAATTTAATAGTTACCATAGTTTTTTATTGTTTACTTTCTAAGGAATTATTAAAAACTATAAGAAATGCTAACAACTAGCTTTCGTTTTGTGGAACTCATTTTTACTTCTCAATAAAACTTACAAGGATTTTAATGTATCGATTAATATTAATAAAAGTGAAATTTCGTCAGGCTTTTCAGAAAAAAATATTTTTTTTGAGCACACTTGTTGATTTAAAAAATTAAAGAAAAATTAGAAACTGTAATATAGAATTCAAAACATAATGTAATTATGATATATTTTTTTTAAAAAAATTAGTACTGACCAACAGCTAGGAAATTCTTCAATCTGAAAACAATAAAATCCATTTGTAATTTAAATAGCACGTTAATTTTATTAAATCGATAAAAATAATAAATATTTGTATTATAAAAAATTAAATTGTTGTTTCGATAGCTTTAATTTTTTCATTGTTTAACGTTCATAATTTTAAAAAAAAAAACAACAAACATTCACATAAATTTGATAATATAAAAGTTTCATTTGAGTCAAGAAAATATTGAAAACGGAAAACGTCGACATGTTTCGAGTGCTAAAATGTAGGCGCCCATTCTCAAGAGTCGCAAGAAGGAAATGACGCTGTCTGGCTTCATAATCAGCGGCGCCCACAGCCAAGTGTGGTAAGCCGCAGATTCAAAATTCTCCATCCTTGTAGACAAACATTAAACAATACATTGAGAACAAAATTGTAAATAAAATTAAGTTAAAATGCTTAATAAAATGATATTCCCTTTATTAAGTGCTGGTTCTTTAACTTAATACGATACGTTACGTCTTCAACTTCCCTAATTAAATTTAAACTAATTGATATTAAGTACTTTCTACATGTAGAGTAGTTCTATATAGCAATTTTATGTTCGTTTCCGCAACTAAAACCGGTTTGCATTTGTTTACGTTTGTGAATCAATTGGTTAACATTGTTATGCAATGCATTAAAAATAATTACACACAGGAAGTATATAAGAAATCTTCAGAATAAAAACCTATTACATGTATGTCTAAATATGAAACTATTGCATATAAACTCGTGTATAACATGTAATTATTCAGAAACTACAGTGCGTCTATTAATTTTGTTAGGGACTATAGTACTAGACATGCTTGCTTTTTAAAACTTGCAAGTCTGTCAAGTGCAACGCTTGAATACAAATATTTCACCACGTGCTCTGCGAATAAATTTTAGAACTTTTCTCATACTCTAGCAAATTATTATGTAGGGTTCTGTTACTGGAATGGTTTTTAAAAATTTGAAAATTGGAGTCATCCAGTTCATAGTCCCAGATAGCCGTAACAATATCTGAAGTTGAGATTTTGCTCAGTTGACACAGTCATTAAATGCCTACAATTGAAAAAAAATCAAGTGAGCACTTCAACACTTTCTATTCAAGCAAACATAAAAAAAATGTTGTTGGCCATTAAGGCAAGGGGTGAGATTGTTCTTGTTTTCCAGTGTCGCCATCTATAGCCAAGAATTCTGCCACACCCATAGATCACACCCGTTTATTGGGTGGTCCCATTCATTCATCCATTTATTCATCCACAAATAGTAATTTTGACCTGAATCAGAGAACGATCAATCTCCATTTCAGTACCATCAGAGATATAATTTATTATGGAAGCATGAAATACTTTGTGACCCGACAAACTTTATTTTATTTCATAACTGTCGTTGAACAGCCGACCCAATTTTGGGTTTATGACTACTAATGTTCAAATCCGTAGCCCTGTAATTTTGAACCAATGCAGAAGACAAGGAATCTCCTGGATCAATGCTCCCAGAGGTATGTATTGTGATGGGAGTATGAAGGACTTTGTGACTCGACAAATTTAACGTGTCCACCTGTCACCATTTGCTGCACGGGGAGTTTGTGAGAACGGAAGAATCCAGCTGGTGGGTGGATTCTTCCGTTCTCACAAAAATGAGTCCAGCGCCCTGCCATCCAAGCTATCCCGGCAACAACAACAAAAAATTTTAATTAATTAATTAAATTAAATTTAAAAAAACATGTAGTCAATGCAACGTTATCTCAATGGGATTGAAATGTTTGAATAATGTAATACCAAAAATGTTACTTACTCAGACTGTAATAAATTATAAATATATAAAAAATTAGAAATACTTCATTGTATTATAACAACTTTTCATTCATATGACTATAGTTAAATGATCAATGGGAAAATAACTTTATGCATTCGAAAATAAGTTACGTTTTAAAATGCTGCTACAAAATATAGGTGGTTCAGTAAAAAACACCCTTAAACTGATCGAGTTTTTTTAACAGAAAATAAATATATAGTTATAGTGTAAGTTATTTTTTGCGAGTTCAGTTGTGAAGGGGTTGAAGCAAGGTTGGAGAAAAAATGCATTAAAAAAATTACTATACAAACAAGGTTTAAGCAATTTGATTCAGGTTTATTTTAAATTTCGAAATATTAAAATCATTTTAAATCAATATATTAATTAATAATCAATTAATTAAATTAATATAATAAGCAGTTAATCACCAAATTTCACCACTTGGTTTATACAAGAAAAATGCTGCATAGTGGTGCCATCTATGAATGAATTTAATTATAATCTCGCCTTATCAATATTTACTAGAATGTATCTTAGACGGGCACTAGAAATAAAATAACGCGAGATACAAGATTGCCCGTGTGAGGCACGGGCATGTACAAATTTGCTGATAACTTTTGCCCGTGTTAGACACGGGCAAATGCGTTAGGGGGTTAATACTGCTCGCAGCAGGGGCGAACTTTACGGCAATCGCCTGATAGCATACTTTACGCAAACTGAAAAACGAAACAACTTAAAAACTTTTTTATCTAGTTATCGGATTTTTACATAATAAGTTATAATATTAATGGTTCATAGCAGAACTCTTAAGAACTGACCGGAAACGACTGAAAAAAGGCCTTGCCACATTTTTTGTTTATTCCTTAGATTGTAGTTATAAAAACAATTCAAAAATATATTATAAAAACTGTACACGACTCTATTAGTCAAGTGCAATATTGTATGAAGTCTGCTTGTTTTATGATGTTTTTAATGAAAGCTATAAGGGAGTTTAAAAGAGGACGTGACAAAATGGTGCGAAAATTTCTGACTAAATTTCAAATATCAAACGGAAACGTAATATGGATATATAAGGAATATTTTTAACTGAAGGTATCATAAAAACTACACCCTCAAAGGAACCCTCCAAAAAAAAATAATAATAAACTGCTGTTTGTAGAAAATGCAACACCATGAAAGAATCATCAGAATCAAATGANTGCGTTTGCGAAGCGTTCTATTTACATATCTGAATGTTGCCACCTTTTTATATGAAAGTTAAGCTATTCTCTGCTATAATACAATTAGACTTATGCGAACCTTACATATGGATATATAAGGAATATTTTTAACTGAAGGTATCATAAAAACTGCACCTTCAAAGGAACCCTCCAAAAAATAATAATAATAATAACGAAAGGCGATGATAGCAGCGGATTGTGAAGAACAAAAATAGGAAAACTAGATAATTGACAACTGTACTAATTACAAAAGATTTCGATTTAGAGCTTCATATGATTATATTATAATTTTAAATAACACACAAAATTTAAATTCGTAATTTACTTACATCTGTCAGAGCTGAAAAAGTAAAATAACAAATTATGCAGAAATCGTAATAACTTTGATGGTTATTTTTATTATTAAAAAGACAATCCAATCAATCCATGAAAATAGATTTAAACAAAAATTTAAGAGCAAAATTTAATATAAAAACAATGAGGTAAAATAGAAAAGCTCTAAAAAGGAGCTGAAAACAATATTGTCTTAATTAAACAATATAAAGAATTTTTAAAAAAAATGTAATTTTTTTCGAAATTAAATACTAATTAAAATCTACGCTGCACAGTTAGTTATAGTCGAGAGTTGAACTCGACATAAATTTTGCAGGAGTCGGAATTGTAGTCGGAAAAATTTACTTGACTTTGATTCTAGAGACTATTAAGTTATGTCATGTAAAGTAAAAGATGAAATCTGAAATATCTCTACATTGTGGCTATCCTAAATATGTAGTATTTGCTTCGTTGATGTACTTAATGTGTAATGTCTGCATCTTAGAAATCCTAAATGTGTACTCTTTGCTTCATAGATGTACTTAATCTGTAGAGTTTGCTTCTTAGAAATCCTAAATGTGTAGTGTTTGCTTCATAGAGATGTACTTAATCTGTAGTGTTTGCTTCTTAGAAATCCCAAATGTGTACTGTTTGCTTCATAGAAGTACTTAATCTGTAGAGTTTTCTTCTTAGAAATCCTAAATGTGTAGTGTTTGCTTCATAGAGATGTACTTTATCTGTAGTGCTTGCTTCTTAGAAATCCCAAATGTGTAGTGTTTGCTTCATAGAGATGTACTTAATCTGTAGTGTTTGCTTCTTAGAAATCCCAAATGTGTATTGTTTGATTCATAGAAGTACTTAATCTGTAGAGTTTTCTTCTTATAAATCCTAAATGTGTACTGTTTACTTCATAGAGATATACAACGTACATGCCTCATAAATACACTATCTGGCCATTAATGACCGGACACCCCTCATTTCGGATACATGAGGTGCTAGTATCGAGTCAATAGAGCGTAGGGCCGCCACGCGTCCGAATCACAGCTTTAACCCTTTGAGGAAGGCTATCCACTAGGTTTTGATACACGGCGACAGGTATTGCCCGCCATTCCTCCTGTAACATGGCAAAGAGTTGAGTGGTGGTTTTGGGGCGTTGTGGTCTGGCCCTCAACCGGCGCTCCAACTCATCCCAGAGATGCTCAATTGGATTGATGTCGGGACTTTGGGATGACCAGTCAAGCTCTTGCACCCCCATTTCATCAAATCAGTCTGTGATGGCATGTGCTTTATGCATGGCAGCTTTTTTGTGTTGAAACACAAACGGCCATTTCCGAACTGTTGCCAAAGGGTGGGAAGCGCCGTATTGTCCAGGATGTCTCTATACCCTTCTGCGTTCAGGGTTCCACGCACAAACACCAAGGGTCCAATGCCAAACCATGAGAAATAGGACCACACCATAATTCCTCCACCGCCCGAACCTCACAGTGGGGACAATGCACTCCGGTAGGTACCGTTCTCCGGGCATTCGCCAGGTCCACACTCGTCCATCAGAGTGCCACAACATGTAGCGCGACTCATCACTCCACATAACGCTTTTCCATCGCTCTACTTCCACTGACGACATGCTCTGCACCATTGAAATCGGTGGCGGGCGTTTGATGGAGAGATGTCTGGCTTATGTGCTGCTGCTCGTCCATGGAATCCTTGTGCAATCAGCTCCCGACGAATGGTACGTGTACTGGCAACACTGCCAGATGCAGCCCGGAAGTTGGTAGCGACAGTGTCCAATGACATTTGTCGGTTTGCCTTCACTACACGTCGAAGAGATCGTCGATCCCTGTCGGACATTATTTTGGACTTGCTGGGTCGAGACTGCGGTTTTATCACTCCCTCTCGTTCCCATTTCAACACGACGTCACCAACTGCTGACCGTGGTATCTGAAACTTGTCGGAGATGGCACGTATGGAAAGACCAAATCGGTGGGCGCCTATGATCATGCCCCTTTCCGCCTCATTCAGCTCTCGCCGTCCACTCATTTTCACTGTTAACGCTCGTATGGCCGTCGCCTACTTGCGAATGGTCTTTCCCCCACCACAGGTTCCGTATTTATTCCGCCAGGACGAGTCTACCTGCCGTTCAAGGGGTGTCCGGTCATTAATAGCTAGATAGTGTATTTCTTAATAAGCTGACCAGCATTCTCCCAAATCTAAGTAACTGGTACTGCTTAAAAACTCAATGCTTTAATTTTCAATTTAATATTCTGAGAACAAAAATTACTGCCAGAGATTCTCTAACAGAAATAATTTTTGTAACTAATTAGAGGGGTGAATAAGAAGGAGTTTTCGATTGTTCGTTTAGAAAATTTTGCAAACAGGTTTTTTTGTTTTAAGAAGACGCTCGTCAGCTTATTTTTAAGCGTAGCATTTGCCGCGTGGTGAATCTTAATATGTAATTTTTGTTTCACAGAAATCTGTAATATAAAGTATTTTCTTATAATAAATACACTGAAATATTCACCTCACAGCGAATCAATGTGCTTCTGTCAGAGGGATCATAAATGTGTAATTTTTTTAGAAGTTATGTGTAATTAATGATCTTTAATGCCTAACGTTTGCTTCATAAGTCCTTCCTATTTCTTAGACATTTCTTTTGCTTGATCAGATAGTTTAATATCAATGCAGAAATATGAGACCTTAAACCCCTGTATCACATTTGAAGCACTTGCTATTTATTTCTGAAATATTAATTGTAATTAAATTTATATTGAAGAAGTTGGAATGAACAATTCCAACTTCAACTCCCAAACTCCCCCAGAGCCGGGAAAAACTCCCAACTAAAAAAACAAATATTTTTACTAACATGAGAGATTTTTACTTAATTTAAGTAACTTTATAATTCCAAATTAAAGAAAAATTTAATACACACAGATGTTTAAAATACTGATTGACCGATTAATTCAAATTTAATAGCATATATAACAGTGATTTCCAGATAAAATGTCCAATAAGCAGTTTTCAATTTACATAAAGAATAATAAAGTATGTATTTACCTGCAGCGACAGAGATTAACAGCATGGCAGCTGCCGAAATAGTGTATAGGATAGTTGAGAAGTTCATTTTGTTCACTTTTGTCACTGATACGAGTGTACAATCTGTGTATAACCAAAAACCGTTAACTTCTTATATGCTCCTTTCCTGGCTATAACTAAAAGCAATAAAACTAGCTTTATTTCTTTAATATTCTTCTAAAACTAGTCTAAATTCTCACTAGTATAATAGAGATATCACGATTTAATTCTAAAAGTAAATATATTTTGAGTGCTAATAAAAAATGTAGGTTGAAATTATGAAATACAAATCGAAATGTTTGATGTATACACACATTCGATACTTGAATCAAATTAAGAAAAGGCAGCTGAAATCAAAATATAAAGGGTCGATTTTTCTCAATAAATATCATAAATATTTTATTACTAAATTGATTTCCAGGTACGAAATTTTACATTTTATGAAGATAATACTGTTCCTTTTTCTTTTTCTTCACTCAAAAAAGTCTTTTTTTTTTCTTTCTTTTTTTTTTGTTGTCTGAGGTACCGGACTTGTTTCGACAATTTTTTTTTAAACATTAATGTAAATTTTTTTTAAGAACTAGTTCATTTGTATGTGAAAAATTTATAAGACTATCAAAAATAACTAGCTATATTTTTTATGGCCATTTTTAGATTTAAAAAAAAATAAGGCATTTTTTTGCATATACGCTAAACACTGTAAAAACATTTCAATTGCCTGAAATAAAAAATGTGTGGATTTTATTTATAAAGCTATTAACTATGTTTTGAACTATTATCTTAAAAGCAAGTGCGTATACTACTGAGTTAAGGATTGATGTAGTTAAAAAAAAAAAAGCAAATTTTTAAAAATTTCCTCTCTTGTCTCAGCGAAAAAACACGCATAAAAAATGAAATTCTTTTTTTTTTCTTAGTCTGTAGTTCAAAACATGTGTGCTGTAATCATAAACACTCATGAAAAATTGTAGACAATTATTTCAAAAACAGCATGACATATCGCGTTTAAGATGACGTAAAATGTGAGAAAAAAATTATTTTGAGATAAGTGCATTAAAAAACTTAAAATCACTAATCTACTCAGTGTTACACAAAAATTGTAAATAAAACTTTGTAAATATTTAGAATGCAAGCAAAAGTAAAATATTTTTAGACAGTTAAGAGTACAGGGATTCTACATTTGTAATAAACTTAATTTTTAAAATTTTGCTCAAAATCGTGTTTTTGCACTATTCTGATACTTTAAAGAACTATTAATTAATTTACTTTCGTATCTCTGATTTGTTATCGAAATTTCGACAGCTCTTTTTCGACCAAAATTTCGACTTCCCAAAGCAATGGTTCACTAAAGATGTTCCATGGAATCTCAGAGTTCCATGAAAAGATCACAGAAGTTCCGAGAATTAGAACTTTTTTTTTTAACTAGTTATGATTTTTGAGACCTGTAATTATGTTTATATCCAACCAATAACTCACAATTTATTTAATATTTGGGTTATCCATGTGCATAAAATAAAATTCTAATAAAAAAAGAAGCAAAAAAAATTTTTTAGGAAATTCTGTAATAATATATCTAGTAAATTATGATAAAGATATATGATGATGATATAAAAAGACATGAATTTATAATAAATTCCATCAGTATTTCTCCCCAAAATTTTTTACTCAGCATAAAATAACAAATTCAAGAATATAAAATTATATTTCGCTTATAGCCAATTTTAACGGCTATATTATAACAGCTCTTTATGAAAAACCGTAATTCAGATGTAACACCAGACTGTCAATTTAACCGTCTTATGTAAAACCTTGATTTTAAAACAATGTTGACTAATTGATGAAACACTGAAAATCCTTGTTTAATAAATTTGGCTAATAAATTAATCTAATAAATTTGGTTAATAAATTAATCTCCTTGGTTAAACGGCTCCTAATGAGTTTTATAAGTTTGGTGTTCCTCTAATAGAAGCTCAATTAGGGATCTGTAGCTGAAAAATATTGGGTACCGCTGAGCTAGAGTCCTCAAATATCTTCTGGACACTTAATGAAAATGCAAGTTCAGATATTTTATTTTATTTTACATCCGTCGTTGAACAGCCGACCCAATTTTGGGTTTACCACTACCAATGTTCAACTTCGTAGCCTTGCAATTTTAAGCCCACTCCAGAAGACAAGGGAACTCCAGGATGAAGTATTGTGAGAAATTATGTCTTCGTGGAGGACTTTTTTATGAAACTAACCCACATTTCCGTAACATGGAGAGGAAAATCATGAAAATCTCCCATGTTTAGCCTGATGGCAAAGGCACTTTAATCCATGATCCGTCTAACACTGAGGATATTTTACGTCAGCACTGTGGTCGGTGCGAGTCTGGATTTGAACCCGGTTTACTTCAATGGAAAGCGAACTCTCTATCTCCTGAGCCACTACGACTCTAAATTTCGATATTTATCGTCCGCTTCAAACAGATTTTATCCCTCCTTCATCTTAAAACAGAATGTATCGTCAGTCAAAATTTCAGCCTCTATCCAACTAGCATAAGTGCTCAAATCTCATGCGGATTTCTGACCCTGATGCCGATACAAATAAAAATTGTCTCCTTAAAGTTGAAAACAAAATGAATTGCCAATTTAGCACCAATCGTGATTTTGACCAGACTTTTTGACGTTAACAAAATAGACAACAAAAAAAATTAAAAATGAAAAAGACAGAAAATAATACAATTGAATTTTAAAAAAAAAATTTTAAAAATGCGTTTTTCATAAGCGAAAATAATTTTATTTTTCTTTAGCGAAACGGAAAACATCACTTCGTACTAGACTTCCATCGACACCGGAAATCCCGTTCGATAATGATTCGTTCAACGTTTTGCGTTTTAACGCAGACTAAGAAAAAAAATATTAGTCTACTTAAAAAGGTAGGTACTTTATTTAAGCCGAACTAGAGCTGCACAATGGGCTTTTGGCGACTGTCTGAGAAACATCCCTGAGGATTATCCGAAGACGTGACATCGCAATTTTGATCCTCTACAGAGGGGATGGCTCCCCTACCTTTGTAGCCCGAAGACCTGCGCAAAGTCGAGCACTTTACGGAAGAGCAGTTTAACGAGGACTGATACCACACACCCTCGGTCCCTACGCAGGCTGATCAAAGTGGTCACAAACCCGCTTACTGACCGCAGCCAGTGATGCTTGACTTCGGTGTTCTGCTGGGAACCGCATCTTTACGATCAGTCCACTGCGGTTACTCTACTTAAAAATAATTTTTTTTTATGTATGTAAATCGGAATTTTATTACAGTGTCCAGACTAAAGATTCGAAATAAATGATTTTACATATCGTATTTCGAATAAATAAATCAGAAATATAAGGAGAAGTCAAGATTCCTTCAAATAAAATACCAAGATGGCGAAGTCCGTTATTTATTTATTTTAACCAATTTTTTACAAGATTACTTAATAAGTTGTGATTCAAAAATGTAGTTGAATCTAATGCCTTTGGAGATCTGTAATTAAGAATCTAATGTTAAAATTCCTGAAGGTAGAACCAATATGGTGAGTATTACTTTTCTATTCACATAAGTATTGTTACCTTTGGGCGGATACTGACATATACGTTGGGCTGAATAGAAAATTCTACAATAGTTTCTAATCAACCTGATAATTCTTAAAGCTCATTACCATCAGCACATATGTCTTTGGAATAACTAGAAAGTGGACGTAAGGTTTCTCAATTAATTGCAATGAGCTAAGAGGCATATTGCCAGCGCCTATAAATAAATCAAACTCATTGAGCTCTATTGGATAAATTCCTTAACTGACTTAAAAGTCGGCTCATTATAAATGAGAAGCCACGATGGCTCAGGGGACAGAGCGTTCGCCTTCCAATGAGGCGAACCGGGTTCGAATCCCAGTCGATACGAATTACGCATCCGTCTTGCACCGACCACAGTGCTGAGGTGAAATATCCTCAGTGGTAGACAGATCATGGGTTAGAGTCCCCTTGCCGTCAGACTAACCATGGGAGGTTTTCGTGATTTTCCTTTCCTGTAACGCAAATGCGGGTTAGCTCCATCAAAAAATCCTCCACGAAGGCACATTTCTCCCCAATACTTCCGATACAGGAGTTCCTTTGTCTTTAGGATTGGATTCAAAATTACAAGTCTATGGTGTTGAACATTAGTAGTCGTAAACCCATAAAATTGGGTCGGCTGTTCTCCGACGGTTATAAAAAAATGAGAATATAAAGTGCCGTGGTGGCTCAGGAGATAGAACGTTTGCTTTCCCATGTGGTGACCCGGGTTCGAATCCCAGCGATGGCTGGTGAAAACGAATTCCGCATCTGGCTTGCACCGACCACAGTGCTGACGTAAAATGTCCTCAGTGGTAAACGGATCATGATGGGTTAGGGTTCCCCTGCCGTCAGACTAGCCATGGGAATAAATTTTAATCTAATGGTCGTATTTTTACATACTAAGATTCAATGTTAATGATTCGATTTTTAACTTTAAATATGCAAATAAATTTTAAGTTACGTAGCTGTTTTACAAAGAATTTAAATTTTTGATCCCCACGATATGGGTAGTAATCTGGGAAACGGATACAGGAAACAGATTGATTGGAATATGGCAGGATTTTTTTTTTTCCAATTAGTCTAGCTCAATGCAATACGACGTCAGCCATTTGGAAAGAGCTGGAGACAAATAATTACAAAAAGGGGAGAAAAACGCATTACCTAAATAAATTTTAATCTANGAATTGTTTTTTTTTTTCGTGAGCTGTAAAACAAACATAAAATATACTGGGGACATGAAAATGACTGTTTTTGTGAGAATGACCCATATATGCTGAACACTGTAAAAAAATTTAGTTGCCTGAAATAAAAAATGTGCGAATTTTTTTTATAAGGCTATTAACTATTTTTTGAACTATTATCGTAAAAGCATATGCAACTGAGCAAAGCATATATAACTTGCATATACAGTTCAGCATATACAACTGAGTTAGGGATCAATATAGCTAAAATATCCCAATATTTGATACAGTAGTTCTTTTGTCTTCTGGATTGGGTTCAAAATTACAAAGCTACGAAGTAGAACATTAGTAGACGTAAACTAATAGTCATTAGTAGGGTCGGCTGTTCAACGACAGTTATAAAATGAGCTTGTAAAAACTGTCAGATTGATTGGAATATGGCAGGATTTTTTTTTTCCAATTAGTCTAGCTCAATGCTATATGACATCAGCCATTTGGAAAGAGCTGGAGACAAGTAATTACAAAAAGGGGGGAAAAACGCATAACCTAAATAAATTTTAATTTAATGGTCGTATTTTTACA